AGGGAAAAGTATTATATATGGTAGATATATTACTCTTATTATTTAGAAAATTTTGTTTCCTTATTTGCCTAGATTTTACCTCCTCACATGTATGTATAAATACTCCAACCTATGATGAATAAAGTATTCAGTTTACAACCTATGTTTCGATTTACAATGTTTGACTGAAGTTATTTTCTATGTAATTTATTAGAAAATTGGAGTGGAATTAGAAAAATTAAACCTTACATATTAAAAAAATACATCAAAATTTTTACAAAATAAGAGTTGACATGACTATATTATTTTCTCTGATGAGTAAAGAAAATAAGGAATGAAAGTTAATGAAGTTTAACTATGCAAATAATAAACATACAACTTAATTTTGAAATGGAGGAAGTATTGTTTAATTGTTTTGATGGTCATGTGATCACAATTATTTTTGTTAAAATATTAGCTTTTATGTCATCTTTAAAAACTTTATACTACCTCCCTCAATTTAAATTGCCTGTTTCGATTTATGATATCTGGTTAAAATTATTTTCAAATTATTTTATATGAAAAATGGTGTATAATTAAAAAATAAAAAATACATGTTTAAAACTATATGAAAAAATCTACAAAACTATTGATGACAAGAGTATCTTATAAATGAAAGAAAATAAATGAATAAAACTTGACCTATGAACAATAAATAGACAATTTTATTTGGGACGAAGAGAGTATTTTTAGTGTTTCAATCATAATTCAGTAATGAATGCATTTATTAATATTATAACACAAATTTGGCTGTAACTGACCTTATCAAACCTTAAATCGAATCCAAACCAAAAAAATATGTACCCGAACCCGGCCCACCAAAATCAACATAAATTCGACTTTAGTTGGTTCAGATTTTGAAATACTAAAACCCGGCCGTACCCGACTCATTATCGTCCCTAACTCCTCGTAGGGAATATTATTAGGAAGATCTTTTCTTTGATTCCATATCGAGTTATAGGGGTAAACATGGTACGGTATGGTACCATATTTAGCTTATACCGGCATCATACCATACATTTTGATTCGGTATGAGATTTTACGTCATACCAATCATGATCGCAAAATTTTAGTTCGGGTTGGTTCGGTATCAATTTCGATACAAATCAAGATGAATACAAATACACCTAAATTAAACATTAAAATATCACAAGCCATTTTTTTATAAAAAAATTGAATGTATATTTACTTAAAAATAAATTTCAAATTTCAAAAATGCATGTTAATAGTTTTAAATTCGTTTACAAAAAAAATAAAACTTGAATAAAAATACATAAACATAATAAAATTTGATTCAATTGTTTTTAAAGAAAACTTATTATTTAATAAAAAAATATAAAAATATATTTATATTTTATTGGTATATATATATTTGATTTGGGATTTTCGATGTAAGAAGTTATCTCGTACCCTTCTCAAATACCAAACCAAACATTTGGTACGGTTCAGTATTTTAGTGATTTTTTTATTTCAGTTTCGATTCAATTTTCTCGACCTTCTCAAAAATATTTTGGTATCAATTCGATATTTGCTCACTCATTATTTTATAATATTGGCTGAAAAACTTCAATAAGTTTTTTATACAAATAGGACCCATAAACTTGGGGTGCAATTGAAGGTGTTGGGGATGTATATTTGGGTCGGGATAGGGTGGGGGGTTTACCGAAAGGTTAGAGAGACAGAAAATTAGAAACCATCAATTTTACGAACGAGACACCATAGCGATCATGGATCATTCCATGACATGAAATTCCAATGTGATGAAAGCCTCCCCGTATAGAGACTACGTTGATTTGTAGTTGGGAAATTGTGATTATCTTATTACAAGTTTCACGCTTCCAACATATATACCGCTCGTCCCTTTGATTCTTCTACATATAAGATTTAGCAAAATTTTAGGCAAATGTAAGAATGTCACTTTCTAAATTTATTTTTGACGATACAATTATTAAAGTAAGGTGATTGAAATATTAAAGATGATGTGATAGATGTACAAAAGGATAAAAAAGGTTTTTCAAAACCCTAATAATGTAATAAATTTAGATGTATAAAGAATCAAATAAGACAACAAAAAGTGACAATTATTAAGGGAGTATTCTTGATGACCTTGGTTATTTTAACTATTGTTGTCATAATATATGGCAACTCAAATTGAAGCACATACGTTGGTGCTCGTTCATAAAATTGTTCTTTTCTGCCCCACTTAAACATCCTAAACCCCCACCCTAGCCCCATGCACCCCTCACTTGTTGCCAAAAAAGGTGGCCGTTAATCACTTTGAATATGTTGAGAACAACTTTGTTGTAATACTCCTTTCGTTCCAATTTAAATTACATATTTACTATTCACACAACCAGCTCTTTATCTATTTTACCTTTCTCACCTATATTTGAAGGTCACTATGCATCATCTATTTCTCTCCCAACCCAAAATGACGTCCTTCACTCTAACACCAAAGCTCATGCCTTTTTTAATCATCTCAGAAAATGATCTCTTCTGACACCAATTGATCATTAAGGCCAACACCACACACAGAAAATGCAATAAATTGAGCCAATGGACATGAAACAGATAACAATAACTATTTTTTATTAATTAAGAAAGAGTCTTGGTTGGGGCAGGGGCGGTTGGTTTAAGGCGGCAGAGTGCGATTCTATGGGAGACAGAAGGAATAAAGGTTGGAGGTTACAAACTATAATATACTAGCTCGATGTTTATCCAATTTGACTTTTTAAAGTCAAAATTGGCAAACTTTGGCAATAAAGTAAATAAAATTGATACTTGTATTAGACATTTCATACAAAAAAATCATTAGATCTATCTAGTAAAATATTTTCAAGATATTGTTTTATTTCATTAATATATCATGTAATTTTAATTTAATTATAGGTCAAACATTGATCATGGTTGACTACAAAAAGTCAACACATGGATAAATACAATGCAGCGAGTAGATGTTATGGCTGGAGTGACTGTAAAAACAATGAGTTGCTAAAACACTACTGAGAAACTAAATTAAGATTTAAATGACAAAAAAAATTAAGGTTGGGTTGGAGATGTTATTATGGCATAGGACAAATGATTTGAGAGGTAAAAAAAGGGTAAAATATGATCATGTTGGAGAAAGTAGTTGAAATAGGCTTATAAGCAGAATATTAAATTAATTGAGTTAGAGTTAAACTACCCACTTTCAAGTTTCTAGTAGTGAATGATCATCACAACTATGCTCTAGTGAAATTATGCTAAGAGTTTCAGCACATTTTATCCTGTACTAATATCACTTGGTTTCACACACTTTCCAAGTGTTAGGGGCTGTTTGGTAACTTCTGAATAGGTAAGTGCTGAACTAGTAAGAGGTCTGAACCATTAAGTGCTGAACCAGTAAGAGGTCTGAACCATTAAGAGCTAGTATATTGATTTAACTATTCAGAGGCAAATGTCTGATCAATTCAGATAAGAGGTCTTAACCATTCAGACTATGTATAATACTTAACCATTCAGAGGCAAATGTCTGAGCCATTCAGACATCTGAACCATTAAGAGGCTGAAACAAACAGTCTGAACCATGTGTTGAACCATTAAGAGGCTGAAACAAACAGCCTCTTAGTGTTCTTCAATGCACAATGTATAATAGCAATAAGAGATGCAATACCTTGTATCCAATAGTTGAAAAATGGACTAACAAAAATCTTCAAAGTGGGCTTGTTTATGACTCATTTAAGGACTTGTGATATGCAACCTGCACAAGAGAAGAAATGGGTCAGGAACTAATACACGAATTTTAATATCCCCACAAAGAAGTAATATATATATATATATAGAAATTTATTTCATTTCACTTTAATAGGCAAGTTACCCCCTCCCCCCACCAAGTGACAGGAAATCAAATGCAATCATCGTTAAGGGAAGCTTTTTTATTTTTTACTTGTATATTTTTGCATATAATTGATTGCCACCATGATGGCATAACACTGATCAAAATCATAGGTAGTTTGTTCTTTGGTAGAGAGGAGAGGGGGTTGTGCTATGATAATTTCATACTCCCCATGTCCCAATGTATTTGTCTAATATTCTTTTGCGGGCCATCCCAATATATTTGTCCACCTTACACTCAAAGAAAAAAAATAAAGTGAAAATGACTTATTTGCCTCACTTAATACTCTAACTCTCCCGCCCAAAAAGTAAAAAAAGTAAGGGTGTGGTGATCGATTTCTTCTTTTTTTTTCCCTTGCCCTTGGCCCATGGGCAAAAACCAATGTGGACAAATACACCGAAAAGGAGAGAGTACAACTGATATGGAAATATTCGTTTTTGTGCACTGTAAGAAAGATTTTAACCAACTTTTCTACTGGAAACCCAGTTTCAACTAGAAATAAAATTTGATCTTCACAAAGCTTGATGGTACTTTTATACTTTAAATGAATACATACAGATGTTGATGATCGCAGCAGCTCCCTCACAGCCATGGTTGCATAACAAGAGGCAGGCAGGGTAAAACTCATTTTTAGAGCCATTTGGCTTCCCTGAGCAGTAGAACTATCCAAGTCTTCCTCAGATTGTGACACTTCTCTGCTCATAATGATATCTTTGTCGTCAGGTTCTGTGCCTGGTTCCTGGTCATGTTTGTTCTCAGCTTCAACATTCTTTGGATCTGCTATAATACCAATTGCAACTTCATCCTTGCTTTTAACTGATTCTGAACCCCTAACCTGGCTATTTCGCATTGATTTAGCAATAATATCCCAATCCGTTTCCACCAGAGGTTGTGTACCATCAGTATAAGAAAGCAATTCCCTGAAAAAGTGATAAATACCTTGACAAATAAATACAGATACAACTTCAAGAAACATTTCGATTATTACAATTTCAACTTTCATACTGTGAGAGTGATCTTACCATTCAAACTCCTTCGGTTTTTGGAAAACACGTCTATATCCACCAGTCATACTGGTTATCGAAAACTCCCTGCAGAAAGTTGTTACACCAGTCAAAAAGTTTAATATATATTAAAGGGTTAAATATGTTTTTAGTCCTTGTAAAATAGGTGAGTTTTGTTTTTGGTCCCTGTAAAATATTTTTTGTTTAAATCATCCTTGCAAAAAAATTTATTTTGAAAATCGTCCTTAAACATAATTAAAATTTCTAATTTGTTGAGATAATACATCTATTTCATACTCAACAACTTAGTTTTGCGTTTCTAATTACTTCAGACACAATTCTCATGTCATAAATTGTTTCCTTTATCAAATTACATCTCCAAGTCCCAATTTTTTATTATATTTAAGGCTTGGAAATTTTGTCAAGGTAATTAGAAATGCAAGACTAAAAATGTTAAATATAAAATAAATGTGTTGTCTCAACTAATTAGAAGTGCTAATTGCGTTTAAGGACCATTTTCAAAATAATTTTTTTTGTAAGGATGACTTTAACAAAAATTATTTTACAGACTAAAAACAAAACTCGCCTATATAATAGGGATTAAAAACATATTTAACTCTACATTTTATCCAACTGCTGATGTACTTTTTGATTTATAATTAGAGGTGGAGTTATAGACTTAGGCTAGCTCTTCGATATGTTTCTTCTTTTTCATCTATGTACGAACCAAGCTCCCCGAATAGGGGAATTGGTGTTCTTGACTCCATGGATTTAGTTCCGTATTTAAGGGTTTAAGACTAAGTATTTACTACAGCTTTATTTCATAATCTGATATTCGAATCGCCAATTGTAAGTACCAAAACTGCAATCAAAAGAGACATAACAAAATTGAAGCTGCAAAACAATGAACCTTGAGTGGTCTCGGCTTGACATGGAGAAAACTTAAAATGTTTTTGCAGGAGGGTCAGACGAGAGCAAATTACCAGCTTGAAATGACTAACAAGTTTACAATTTGAGATTATTAAATTCCTTTTATCTGTCCATTAACAACAACAACAACAACCCAGTTTTATATGTCCACTTATGGTGCAAAAGTTATTTTTTACCATGTTACCCACTAAACTTTATTTCTAGCTACATGTTGATTACAATGTGTTAAATAAGAGTAATTTTTTGTAAAAGAATATGAGGTGTGAATGATTTAAAGAATTGAAGTGATTGTCCCAATATGTATGATTAGGATGAAGAGGAAAATTAATTAGGACCAGAAGAAGCACTTCCCTGATTGTGAAGTTCACCAGACTCTTTGTGCATAACATGTTTTGTATTGTATATGTAATGCAAGTACATGATGGCTAACAAAATCTATAACTCATCAGAAGTTATATAAGTTAGAAGCCTCTTTCAGTTACTCACTTGACATTGTGTGTGCACTCAGCCAATTTGATGCCATCCTGCCCAGGAATGAAAACCAACCATTAGGATCAAACAAGAAAGACACTAGGGGATCAAAAGGCACCTAGTGGCAGAGTACATAAGAAAGTTAACCTGGTTTGCAACTTCACATATGATTTGTCTTGTCTTATCCATTTATATTATTTATTAGTCTCGTCTTATCCATTATATTATTTCATATTTTGAAGCCTTGAATAAAACAAAGTTATCCAAAATTGGTCAGTTGGATCAGCTTAGAGCACGGGCAATGGCAAATCGAAAATGGAATGCCACACAGTGACATGGAACATTTCAAACCTAAAAAACTGTCCAGCCAGAATTGATGTACTTTAATTATTAAAAATTATTATTATTCCCTCCGTCCTTACTCCTAAAATTATCTTCTCAGTTACTATTCACACGGTGAAACTTTATTCACTTTCTTTGCTTATTTTCATTAGTCATTTGATTTAAAAAAATATAGTCATGTCACCTCTAGTTTGTAGAATTTTTATGTAGCTATTGAAAATATCAATTTTATTTTTAAATTTTACAACTATAATTAAATAAATTGAATTGAGAATAATGTTGGTCAACCCTTGTAAACTTAAAGAGGAAGTTAATTTTAGGATGGAGGGAGTACATACCTATTTTATCTTTAAAATAAGTCAACTTTTTCAATAAAAAAAATCATTATTTTAAAAAAAACAAAAAAAAGGGAGAGTCAAGCCTCGTGCATGGAATGGAACGAGGGGTGGATTGATGGTGGAATGCCACGGTTTCCAAAAGTTTTTCTGACATGACATGGCGAGGTGAAGCACTAGCTCGCTGTTGCCAATTCTTTTAGTGTGATGTATCCTCGTAGAGAAGGCTGCATAGAATCCTCATTGATAGAAGACAATGGTGGTCAATAACTAAAGGGTGTGGCTATTTGCACTGCAAGGTTTACTAACATGCCACATATTTGAAAAACCCGTTCCCTCAACCCTTAGTGAACACAATGAAGATTGTTCTACCAGTGTTGGCCTACAAGTGTCATTCAACAAAAACTGTACACACGGGCACTTCACTCTCAGTGTGATCAGGGCTCACTGAACACAATGGAGATGATTCAAAAGACAGCTGTCAAATCAATGTTCAATTAGTGTTGCTTTCGCGCAGCTGCACTCGACAAACAAGAATTGACCAGACAAGGTGGTATTAAAAGATTGAGGTATTTGAAAAAAGTGATACTCCCTCTGTTCGCATTTGTTCTTCCCACTTGCCTTTTTGGCCCGTCCTGATATATTTTTCCCATTTCCCTATTTGGAAAAATATTCAATCCTAAATGTCAAATTTACCCTATAAGCTACCACTCCTCCCTTTCCTTCTTCCTTTTTCTCTCCTCCTCCCGCAGCCATAATTTTCTTCCCCCTTCACTTGTTCTTCTTCACGACTTACTCCACAACGTTCCTTTCAAACAGGCCTGGCGGCATTCCGACTTGGATTTCATGGCTGGCTTTGATCTGCACCATATCTACCATTTGGACCAGAGGTCTTGTTCCAGGTATGGTGTCACAGTAACAGCAGGGACACAGAACAAAATTGTTGAAAGGCCAATTTGTCTTGCTTTCAATTCCAGAGTCTGCACCGCCAATTTCTCCACACCATCGTGCGGCTATGTGCAGATCAATTTAGAACAAAATTGTTGAAAGGCCAATTTGTTTTGTGGAAAAAAAATATGATCGTAGAAGAAAACTTCACCGCAATTCACCATGTGAATTTGACCACAATTGTTTTTAGCTACCTTGAGGAGCAGCAATTGGAGCCACCTACGACATGTTTGCTGCAACCCTATCATCAACCCCAGGGCGTTCTAGATGACGGCAGCGGTGTTCCAAATGGGGGCGGCGTCCTAAACGGCAGTGGAGCAACAGTGCACATCATATGCAAGCATCAAATTTTTTGGGTTAATAATGTTGGAGGGAAATTTTGGAATGTTATCGCAATTGTTAACTCTCCTAAATATGTGTGCCGGGTCAACTTGAGAACATTGTTGTTAAGTCATCATCGACTAGTCGTCCTGGCAGTTTGCACATTGCAACTTGGTTATCGCCTAGCACCCCGAAACTGTCGCCCATTCGACGCCTAATCACCAACTAGTAGGTGTTTGCAACCCTAACTGATTTTACCCAACCTGACCCAAATTTCATTAAATTTTAAAGGCATTTAAAGTTCCTTCAAATAAAACCTGTGCAGTGCTGCTAGACTTCATCGCGACACCTTATTTCTTAAGATTGAAGGATATTTGTTTCTTACGTACCCCTTGTCAGATTGTAATGTTTTTATGTTCTACGGTTAAATATAATGTTGTTATAGTAATGACATTTATCTTATAAATTTATCTTTGGTGAATGGTAATTTATTTAAATTAAAGAATTTCATTACTTATTACTACCTCCGTTTGAGTTAAACTGGACAAACTTTGAGCTTCAATTACTCTCAATTTGTATTGCATAGTAGTATAATGAAATAAAACTTTAAATGCTCTCAACAAGATAAATCTAATACAATCATTTTATACATTATGGTTTTTATTTAATTGAAGCTCAAAGTTTTTCTAGTTTAACTCAAAAAAGTCAAACTAGACAAATACACTGAGACAAAGGGAGTACGATTTGTCGACTAGTCTACGACTAGTAGGCTGACTAGTCTAGTCGACTAGTCTCTTCTTCACCAACTTGACTCAACTTATCATTGTGATAACCATGCTTGGGAACAACAAATCTGGACGGAGGGAGTATATTGGTTTCTAGGGGAGGAGAAGGGTGGGTGCCTGTGTGGTTATATTCATTGCCTGTTGAGCGAAAAGAGTCGTAAATGACCATGATTATCTTTAGGTAAATAGAGGATTAAATCAAACGGCCACATTAAACTTTTTTTCTTCTTAAATTCAATGGAGGTTTGGATGGTAAATGCAGCAATGCATCAAGGGTGAAGGGTGTATGATGTATCAAAGACGTCTCTCTATATTTTGCACAGGTAAGCCAGCATACATCATGATCCCCAGAGTCCAATAGAATTCGTATTATATTGGGTTGTTGTTCTGGGGTGGAGGGGGGCGGGTAGTGGTGATGGCTTGAGAAATTTAAGTGTTAAAAAATGGAAGAAAAAACTAAAAATACGTTAATGAATTGAGTCTTAAGACTTAAGCTGCATTTTGGGATTTTAATTCTGAAGGTATGTAGTCTATTGTGAATAGGATACATTGATCACCATTTGTAGTCGTGACCCATCTCCAAGAATGGATCCACCACCTCATTATAACAAATGGCAAATGGCAAACAAAAGCATGACAAAAGTAGGTAAAACGCATTCGAGTATATATTCCTTCCATTTTCTTTTATTGTACATTATAACTTTTTTGATACATTGAAATATTAATGTGGACATTATGTAAGTCCATATTCATATGATGGTTGATGTATGACTGTGCAAGTCCATATGAACATTAAGTCTATATTTGCAACTTAGCTTTTCACTTAAGTTGCAGAGTGGCTGGGAAGGCCGGAAATGAGGAAAATCTAAGAGGCCGGTAAATCATAAGAGGCCGGCTAGACCAATTGTTACAGCACTAAATGTAGGACCTCAGGCGCTACCAACTCTTCTAAAACCAATTGGTGTTAGAAGAGGCGCATACCCTAGCCTTATAGTGCATTCAACACACAAGCGCCCACGACATTCGACTGTGACTTGGCCCACATAGCCTCCGCCACGGGACAATTGCTGCACACATGGCCAACAATCTCCCCCTTAGCAATTGCTCCCGCTGGGAATCGAACTCGTGACCTTGGCTCTGATACCACTTGTAGGACCTCAGGCGCTACCAACTCTTCTAAAACCAATTGGTGTTAGAAGAGGCGGATACCCTAGCCTTATAGTGCATTCAACACACAAGCGCCCACGACATTCGACTGTGACTTGGCCCACATAGCCTCCGCCACGGGACAATTGCTGCACACATGGCCAACACTAAAGACCTATAGCCTAATGGCCTCCGAAGTTGGCAATCCTAGAGCCTCCTCCCAAGTTAACAGTGACTTTAATCTTAATGTTCTGGAGTCCATATTATACTTGTACATTCTAATTGTGTGATCATTGTAAACATTGCATTTCAATACAAGATAATTTCCTAAAATACTTTAAACAAAGGAAAAGATACACCCTCCGTCCCTATATAAATGTCACCTTTGCTTCTCCAATGCTCTTCTATGACAATTGCTATCTTTCTATGTTTATTACTAAAAGTTATGATAAATAATATTCAGAAACTATAATTTAAAACAAATTGGTTAAAATTACTTTCGTGTTATAAACTAATACTACATATAATTTATGAAATATTTGAAGTCAAAATCAAGTTGTGACTCGGAAAAGGCAAAGGTGAAGCTTATTTAGAGACAGGAGAAGTAGCATAATTGATGGAAATTAGAAAGCGCAGAACGATGCTGACCTTTTCTGCTAGATCATGGTATACTTTTGCAATTTCATTTGATGGATAAATTACTCTTGACCTAAAATAAAAACATTACAATATGAACATTCAGTATGAGCTATATAACAGCATAACTTCACCAAAATCGTAACAATGGGAAGTTTTATTTCTTCATCCACACCCAGGCAATGGAAGGACAACATCGTCGACTGAATAAGTTCCTGATTTTATATCTTCTTCATTCACCACCTGTCCAAATGTAATCACCGCTCTTATTAGCTAGGTTCAAATAAGTAGATAATGCAACTCAAGCATATTAAATGCACATCAGATCATCCTGATTTTATATCTTGTCTCATAGCTGATAGCATACACAAACATGGTGATGAATTCCTATTCACATTTTACTCATGCTCAGGACAGAATCAATTTGTTGAGATAGTTTGGGCTTATCCATCAGAGTATAAGGATGCATTGCTCAATTTTATTTTTTTTTATTAGCAGAAAATTCATATTTGTAAATGAAGTAACTACACCTAATTGGCCCCTTCCATTCATTTTGCAACAAATTATTCATGAAAATATGGGTCCTTGGTATTCATCTGAACTTATGAGAAATCATCAGTTCATCACATTAAATGCATCTGAGCATTGTTTAGATATTTACTATACAATCAGCCAAACTTTCAAACTACACCCAATTCTCTGTTGAAAGATCTGTTTCAAGTACCCAAAGCAGTGCCACTGTGCCGGTAACCTACCTTCACTAAGATATGTGTTTCCTCAGGAATATCAGTTTCAGAAACTTCATCTATGTTGGTGTTATCATTTGTGGCATTTTCACTACCATTTTCACATTCAAAATACGAAGTTTCATTTCCAGTACAGTTTTCTTTGCAAAGCACCAAGTCTCCCACTACAACTTGGTCAAATCCTGCATGAAGGATAAGAAAAACACCTGCATAAGGGAAAACGAAAACAGCCACACAAGAAAACCAAATGTCTCTCATGTCTCTAATCGCATGTTCTGGAGAAATCAACATGAGATGTGGATATACATAAAGTAGTTAACATGTATTATAGACCGATGAGTTAGTGACCACTAACCATGCTTTTGCACCCTGAAGCTTACTGCATGGTTCCACAGATAACTTTGATAACTATGTACATACCTACAATGCAGAATTATAGGCCAGTGTTATCAAAGGGGAGAGGTGAAAAAGGTATCCAGCCCCCAAGGCACAAGCAACACCAGGTGCATATTAAAAGAAAGCATAAAACTAACAAACTAAATAAATTACTCAAGGCAGGTATAAGAGAGTGAGAGGGTGTGTTATGGAATACTTAATGACCTACATCAGGGTAAAGATCCAACAGATTTTATCAAGACTAAGTGACTGATTCTGTACTATCCAACAGATTATTAACTCAGGCGACATACATACATATTAATGACATAATAGAGGAAGGTCCAAAAAAGCAAGGCTAAGTGAATGATTTCCAATTAGCCTCGAGATTAGCTCATTAGCCAAAAAGGAATGGTTTCGAACTGTTAATGACTGGAGTAATTTTTCTAACATGGATAAAATTAAATGAAAAATTCGATATGCTTCAAACAAAGGACAAAGGGATTGTCAGGGTGGTAACAACTATGTCGGTGCCTGACCCAAGTACATGTGAGGAAGATCCATCATCTAGAGTCACAAGGGAACTTGGTGAATGAGAACTAAAAATAAATGACAAGTGTTGATTGCCAATCAAATGAACTGCAGGGCAGCACATGACATTTAGACAATGATGAAATGGGGCATGTATTTGTATTACATTATTCAACTGTAGTGATAGAATCAAGGAAAGCTTCAGACAGACTTAGTACTCTGTAAAATAAGCAAGTTCATCTACAAATGTTATAACAGAATTTTTAGACGCATTATTTAGAGTGGCAACATTCTCAGCTTGAAACCCTTGATCTTTATACTTCAATGTCCAAATTCCAACCATCATGCATTATCGCAGGGGTCTCAACTCATACCTTCATAAGGCTGCCACACTAAGTCAGGGGATTGGCCATGCAATTTGGAAGGATGACTGAATGAGCAATGGCCAATGGGTCAGCATTCTTAAGCAATGATGTCATATTATGCTAAATAATGATGTCATATAGAGCTAACCAATATTTCCATGATGATGAAATGATTCTAGATAATTATAGAGTTTTTACAGTTATTAACAACTTATGTCACTATATTCATTTCAAAGAGAAGATATAGATACTCCCCTCATCTCCAAAAGATCTTTACATTTGATTTTTTCATGGTCACATTGCAATGTGACACTTTGACCATTCATAACTATGATAGTACATACATAAATGTTATAAAAAAATTGATATATCAAAACTACCTCATAAAATGAACCCATTAAATAAAGATTAAACACACATACATGTTTCACAATTTATGGTCAAAGTTTGTAAATTTTGACCAAAAAAGTCAAATATAAAGATCTTTTTTGGGACAAAGGGAGTATTTCCATTTCAGCTTTTCTTTGCTTGATACAAAGAAAGATCTATCAAGAACATAGTAACTTACATCATTCGAAGAGTCCTAGGTATACCCTTAAGAGCTTGTAAATAGTTTGCTTGGTTTTTCTTTAGGCATTGTAGCTGGGAAATGTTGAAAGAAAATATTAGACACGACTTAAAGATAATCCATATATGCATGGTTTTAAAAGGCATTCGAGACGGTGAGGCAGTCTCTTTAAGCCTTAGAGACTTGAGCCTCAATAGTGATATATGAGGCATACGCCCCACATCAAGTAAGGAATTGCTCATTTTCCAGCAAGCCCGAGTAAACCAAACTCTCAAGCAGTCTTTTGACTTTTAATTTCTCTGTTCTTCTTTCCAGCATCTCTCCCTCATCCTTGATTTTAATTTAATTTCTATGAAGTTTGCTTAACTTAAAGGTTTATCTATATTTATGGTTGAAATTTAAATGTATTAGTTTAGATTTGGTTATGAAATAACTTTAAATCCAGATATTCTGTTGTTTTTTCTAGTTTTTAAATCCTATACTCCGTATTAGATGAAAGATCTCGAGTTTTTAAATCATATATTAGCTTAGAGCCCCCTTCTTTTAACAACAAGGAGTGTTTTCATATTATGGATTTTTTTACCCAAAAGTCGACTAAATTTGAGGGATGAAATTGAACGGTTTAGAGGTGGTTTCGAGTTGGGCCAGGATAGAGGGGGGCAGGGGGGGTAAGAACCATCAATTTGTTGTCATATTAGGCATAAATTTCTCTTGTTTTGAAATTCAATTCAAAGAATGATATAACTTTATTTTAACGTGAAATTTTATCCATATTTAAAGGTAGTTATGTGTACGTGAAATAGCATCATTGTAATATAATTATCATGGGCGGTGTGACTTGTGAGTTGGTTAAAAGACCATCATGCATGAACTTGTAAAAATTTCATTACATGATCTTAGGGTAAATTTAATAGATGGTACCTGAACTTTGAGCAATATATCATTTTCGTACCTAAACTTTATTTCCTCTCGCAAATATACCTGAACTTTGAAGAAATTTCACAAAAATACCTGGGGGCCAGTTTCTAAGTTACTGTCACGTCACTTAGGGTGTAAATGCTATTTTATAAATTTTGAATTTTGAATTTTGAACCCACCATTTTTCCTTTTTTCTAAGATTCCCTCTCCTTTCTTCTTTAACAGCCCCACTTCCACCCTGTTTGGAGAAGAAATGGGAGAGAATATGATAAAAAGAAAAAAGGTGGGTTAAAATTGAAAATTAGAAATATAAAAAAATGTAATTCGGCCTAAAGTGACCTAACAGTAATCTGGACACTTGACACTTGCTTCACGTACTTTTGTTAAATTTCTTCAAAGTTTAGGTATTTACGAGAGAAAATAAAGTTTAGGCACCAAAATGATATATTTCTCAAAGTTCAGGTACCATCGATGAAATTTACCCCATGATCTTATGACTTACTTGACATGATTGTGGATTATGCATTTTGTTTTACATTGGAGTATTTCTTTTAGTATTTACACCTCAAGGCATTTTGCTCCAACGCATCGAGGCTAGTATTCGCCTTTCAAAACCTTGCATATATGCATTAGTCCATAAGAAAAGAGTTTAACTTATGATAATATTAGCTAAGGCAGCGTTCCATTCAACTTATTTTTTCTGCTTATTACTTATTCTTATTAAAATCAGATTAGATCACACCAAATCAGATCCAATCAGATCAAATCCAATCAGACCAGATCAGATCCAATCAGATCAAATCAGATCTAAACAAAATTAATATTATTATTTTTATTATTATTACTATTATTACCATTTTTATTAGCATTATTATTACTCTACTATTACTATTAATAATATGATTATAATTATTATTATTATTATTACTATTCTTATTATTATTATTATTATTAATAGTATTATTGTTACTATTATTATTATTGCTATTATTATTATTATATTTACTATTACTATTGCTATCATTAGTATTACTATTATTACTACTATTATTAATACTATTTCTATTATTATTATTAATATTATTATTATTACTATAAATATTATTATTATTATTACTATTACTATTACTATTACTATTACTATTACTATTACTACTATGACTATAGTTATTATTACTATTATTATTATTATTATTACTGCTAATTTTATTATTACTATTATTATTATGATTACTATTATTATTATCATTGTTACTAATATTATCATTACTATTACTATTATTGTTATTATTTCTATTATCATCATTATTTCTATTATAATTGTTATTACTGTTATTGTTAGTATTATTATTATAGTTATTACTCCGTATTATTATTATTACTATTATTATTACTATTATTATTGCTTTTATTATCAACATATCTATTATTATTATTATTATTATTATTATTATTTCTATTATAATTATTACTATTAGTATTATTATTATTATAGTTATTATTATTATTACTATTCTTATTACTATTATTATTATTACTATTATAATTAATATTTCTATTATTATTATAACTATTATTATAACTATTATAATAAAAATAGTTATAACCAGACTAGATCAGGCGAACGGAACGCAGCCTAAATCAACATTGAAATATCCAAGATGTGTTTTTTACATACAATAGCCCGTTCAGCAACCATATGGCGAGGTATTTGCCTTAGAGTACCATCAATATCACCAGTCTCCTTGTAATATTCCCTTACTTTACTGACGACATCCTTCTGTGTTCAAGAGTTAAGTTGAGAAAAATATATCTCCATTTATAATTATCACAGAGCATAGAACGCTAGCTTAAGGATAACAGCAGATGCATGATGCAAGGAAATAGGAATGGGGGAAATTCAATTGTTGAGATTTATGTAAATTCATCTGAGGGGAGATGGGAAATGTTAAAGGATATCCCCTTCTCTTGGATCAAGAATCATGTTTACAGCTGCTTTCCACTCTCCACGCAGTAGAGTAGCTCCAACAAGATGAGTTGGCACTGATCCACTTCCAAATCTCTAAATCCATTTTAACATAATAACTATGTTAGAAGCAATGAAAAAGGATCAATTATAACATACTTCAGACTTTCAATTGAGTGTCCCAAAGAGTGAAGATTAACTATAATTTATCAAATCCTCTGTATTGCGTATTAAAAAGTAATGAACTGCAAAGTTGGCTTGTACCACTACTCAGATGGTTCTACTGGTTATCATTTGTCATTGTGCAAAAAAGAATTGCTGAGTTTTCATTTATTCCATGCAATAATCCCCAGAGACACTCCTATCATACAGCTTCTTAGGTCAGTTGTTGAGTAGCGGCTTTAGACTTATATTCAGGATAGATTCCTGCTTTAGACTTATATTCAGAATGGATCCAAAGTAAACCCATATTCTATTGTTGGACTTACACTGAAAGAGAGTATGAATCCAGGTGAGAAGCCAGGTGAATTCCAATCCTATGAAGATTATGTTGAAAAGTGAAACCCCTATGTAGCAGCCTCCATAAAAATACCATCCAAATAAAAGTATAGCTAGCAGTATGTATCTTATGTTAAGAACAAAAGCACACACACACGAATAGAAAGCAAGAAAGCAATAGAGAACACGAGATTTAACGTGGTTCGGTCTAATCTGACCTACATCCACAGGGGCAACTAGGGTTTGTATTATTGAGTGATGATGATTACAAGTACAGGAGATCAAATATATAGACAACTAATTAGGGTTTAACCCTTGCTGGACAAGTTATAGCAAACTGGGCTTAAAACCATTTGGGCCGGCCGAAACCCTAATCTGGTCTCCTAATTCTCAGTTGTCTACAAGTGGGCCACTTTGGGCCGATGACTACACATCACCAACAATCTCCCACTTGGAGTCTTTGGACCAAACTGCGGCTCCTCTCTGTACTTCTGTAAATGAAAAATCTTCCTTGATCTTCACATCTCCCTAGTTGCCCCTCTCCTCAACACTATTCCAGGAGACCAGCTGAAGCTATGCAAAGCTTCAGCTTATCCAGCACCACTGTCTTGGTGAACATATCTGCTGGATTCTTAGCACCTGAGATGTTCTTCAACTTGATTGTTCTATTACTGATCAATCCCCTCACAAAGTGATACCTCATCCCGATGTGCTTCGTCTTGC